AACCAGGCACGGGGCCCTCAATCGCTGGAACTGCTGGGAAAGGAGCTACATTCTCCTCCTCCTCATCCGCAACAGGGGCAGCAACAGCCACCACACCTTCATCACCCAACACTGCTAAGGGCGAGAAGCTGGTGCATTTCAGAACCTCCTTGATCCTTTTCTCAGTAACGAATCTCCCAATTTCGCTCTGACCGAGCATTAGATACTTCTTCACATTGTCAGCATACTCGCTCAGATCACTCGCATTGTGCTTACGGGCAATCACCGACTCCCGAGTGAGGATCAAGACATCGGTGGAGAACGGAGACACTTCCGATTCCGACTGACAGTTCATACAGACATAGAAAAATCTGCCCTTCCACCCACGGTGTGAGGTAGGGGTGTCGGTGAACCCACTGCGGCCCCCAACCTGGGCTATGGAAGCATAGCTCTGGTTGCCCTTTGATGGATTGCGGCCAATGTTAAACAGACAACGGAAAAGACCCACACTGGGAGTAATCTTCAATCCCAAACAACGCGGGAGGAAAGCGGCGATGTAATAGAAACCATTGGGAGTAAGTTGGCAGGGAAGCAGGCCAACCTAATCTAGGTACTCGGCATAGAACGGGTGCAGAGGGAACCTGAAACCGTGCTTAACAACGTTGTAATAAACGACGAAGAACCCCGAGGGGAAGGAAGAAGGCAGCTCGTCATCACCCGGCCTCATCACCACCACACTGGACCCACGTAGGCGCCTTGCCTCCTCCCATTCCCTATCAGACAGGGAGCAGCGAGCTGCGTAATCGGCAAAGCTATCAAGTGTAAAAAACTCAGCATTGCCCTTGACATTTTTCTTGACGAGCGCCCTGCGACCCTGCCGCTAGTTCAGCGGAGCAGCATCAAACGCTGAGGTTGCATCCTCAACATCATCGGCTAAACCAGCCTCCCTCAGGGCGGCAACGTCATCATACCCCAGTGGTAGGTCATTGCTGGCTCTGTCTCTAGTGTTGGCAGAGGCACTGTGAGAAGACATTCTTCGAAATCTGCAGAAACAAAAAACATACATGCAGAAAATCAAAATCGGGGTTGAGAACCAATAATCCGACCCCCAAACAAAAATTAAACGCTCGAATCGACATCAGCATGCGATTTCGAGGCTAGAGGTACCAAACTCATCAAGAATGGGGGACTGTAAACCCCCCATTACTCGGAAAACTAGTTTGACGGAAAAACTCTCATTCTGGGTTTTCCGGCTAAACCGCGACCGACGAAGAACGTACAAACGACACCAAAGACTAACCTGGTAAGGAGAAGTCGACGGAGAAAAATCAAAACTTCGGTAGCACTGGCCGGAGAAGAAGAGCTCTGGGATTTCTTGAGAATTCTAAAAGCTTGAACACAAAGAAAGCGCAAAGAAGAAAAGAAAAATATTTCGCCTTTTATACTTCCCTTAAAAAAGGAACGGGAAGCTTACACGTGGCGCACTACTACTCAACCGCCCAAAAAACTCAAAGGGTTTTTCAAAAAGGCGTGCAAAAAGGCGCAATGATGGCGCCGTACAATCACTTTAAACGCCACCCCTCGCATTAAATGCTGAGAAGCTCGGAATTCCACCAATGATGGCGCCGTAATTCAAAATGTTGCAAAAGGAATGTTTAAAGATTCCTATTTGTACACATCAGCGTTACTACACGCCACAAATTCTCCTAATTCCACCAAGCCCTAAATGCAACTGCCTTGTCCCCCTCAGAATCATACTCTTCCGCACTTAGAAAATATTCTAAGTCCACAAGAGTGGTGGACTGGTAAGTGAGGGACTCGGGAAAGAAATCAAAAAACAAAACAAGATTACAACAAGCTCGGAAAAACGCAGCCACCTCGGGATCAACACCAAACAGGTATATCTCTGAAAAACAAACTCTACACATACACACACTAAAATTCCTGATGAATTTTTTTCAAAATTAAAATCTTATCAACCCACGGACGGGGCCGTGGATGTAGCAACTAACCCATGAAGCAGGTCTGGAACGCGAAATACACGGAGCTCAAACTCGGACCTCTCTGCAGCGGGGCGTCGCTTTCCTCTCCGGACTTCATGGCAAAGCGGAGTATACTCTTTTTCCTCCGTTAGGATTTTTTCCCACAGGGTTTTTCCTCAGCGGAGTTTTTAATGAGGTACCCCTTTGTCATGACCATGGAAGAGCAGCACCCCTGCCGGGCGAACGTGCCCAGGAAATTGAAGATTTACTCTCTCTCACCTCAAGTTTCACTTTCGCCTCGGGGAGTGAGGGACTCATGATGGAGTATATTCCCGTATACCCCAGGGGTATCATAATCGCTGGTATAAAGCATCACGGACCCATTCCTGAGTGCACGAAAAGACTAAGTCAGCAGCTATACCGACCCCGACCCCGACCAGCCAGGGTCGGAAACAAGCGCCAGTCAACAGAACAAGCTAAGGATCGAGAAGTTGCCCGACCCCGACCTCGACCACCGAGGTCGGGAAAATACGAAGCTCAGGAATCAATCAGACTCGACCGGTTATGAGCCCGACCTCGAGACGCCCGAGCTCGGCACCAAGTCTGATCCCGAGAGTCAAACGCATGGTCAGCATGCACCAGGCAGACAACTACCTCAAAGGCGGGAACAAGGACAAAGGGGTGAGTCCTCTCATCACGAGCCCGAGCTCCCAGATATCGACCTCAGTAATCTTCAAGGTCTGAATGAAGCATCGTGGACTTAGCCAAAATCCGCAAGGACTTGCCTCACAAGGTGGTGTCGCCACGTCACCATCAACACCAGGGAATATTCCTGGTTACCCACGCGTAGCCACACGGGATCTCTGGTAGCAATTCTGTTAGAAGCAATCCCCAATCAGCCACCTATTGAAGATTCTCTCTCCAATCAGCTGTACATGTGGCTGCTTCCCATCGAATTAGGCTGTTAGTTTGTTAGAGTAGCTTTACACGTGTCCCTCTCCTATTAGTCTAGCATCTTTTTGCTTGGGTGCCAAGTATTGCCTTTTATCTCTTAGTATAAATATCATCTTCCAACTTGTGGACATGGATGCTTGCTTGATGCTTGATGCTTGATGCTTAATCTATTGCACTCTTAATACTCATATACTGTTATTCTGTCGGATCAAGTACTTGCATTTTCCGATCAGTTCACTCTCCCCTTTACTCTCATTTCAGTTGGATTCCGGCCACCCCTGGTGAGATAATCCATCAGGAACAATAATACCCACCATAATATATTTAGAGTTGTACTCCCTCTGGTCCTAAATGAACTTCACACTTTGCTTTTTGGATAGGGTCCAAAATAAACTTCATACTTCTATTTTTGGTAATTTTTAATATAAAGTTAAGTTACCCTTATACCCTTAGTTTATTACCAACTTTACACACACTTTCTCTCTTCCACTATATCTAATCTACAATTTGTAAGGACGTGATGGAAAAGTCAAAAGAAAAAATTTCACTTTCTTAAAAACCGTAAAGTCAAACTATGAAGTTTATTTAGGATCGAAGGAAGTATATATTACTAGTTTCTCTCCCATTTGGTTTATTTGTAAAGAGTTGGTTTTTATGTTAAAAAGGTGTGATTCGGCATTGGTATAAAAACGGTACAGTACTAAACGGTTATGACTCTAAAATCCGATCATGTAGACTTGTTTGTTTGAGATAGTAGGCTTTTGTACAAAGTTTAAGGGTAATATAGTAGAAGTAATAAATAAAGTAGAAGTGTAAAGAGGATGGGAGAGATGAAAAATATGATAGGAGATGAAAAAATAGAAACAGTAAAGGAAGCCGAAAATTTTAAATTAAAAACTTAAGAAAAAGGGGAAGTATTGTAAATATTTAAATACAAACAAAAAAGAAAGTGTCGGAAACATAAGAATATGAAAGGAGTTTAAGAGGCCGATTGGAGGACCCAAAATGGACCGATAAGCCTGAAAGTAGAAAAATTTTACCAAACACCTATCAAACAAGTTGTTTTGGCTGATTTTTATTAACAGTTGCAAAAACAAGCCTAAAGCCGCTTTTTGAGTTGAAATTTATTATATCTGGAATAAATTTCAGATATAATCTTCCCTTGGACGACGTAATCACCGGCCTGCTCGTTGCCTCATAGTTTCGTGATTCAAAATGAAGACTTTTGCTCGGCTGCTCCATATTCACAAAGGTAGCTGCACTCAATCTTGTTCTTCACTCCTTGATTCATGATTATCTGGATTGATGTAGCAAAGTAGATTTACGGAGTATATTTTTAAGGGTTTTAACCAAGCAAAAATAATTCATTACCAAAATTCACCCCATTTACTTAACACAAACAATAATACCATTACCATTTATGGTAATTTTACATTCAATCGGTCATTTTCAGCAAACATACTACCAAACACTTTCAGTCGCAGCCGTTTCCAAACATGCCGTAAGTGTTGTAAATCTGAATCTGAATTGCAAGAAAACATTTCTTTTGAGTGGGCACAAGTCCACCATTATTTGCTCGAGAACAAAAAATCACAAATCTCGACCAATCGTGTGTGTAAATTCAATGGACAAAATCCACATTTATTTGCTCGAGAAGGACAAAGAAAACATAATTCCCAACCAATAAACCGTCTACCAGAAGCAAATGATAACCAGTATCAGCACATTAGGATACACTCAAGTGTCTGAATTATCAAAAAGAGAAAAAAGGAAAAAACCTTAGTGCAAGTGTAAATTGTAAAAGTGGCATCCAAATGATCGATGGAATATGTTTTAAGTTTATGCTGCACATTAACCCGGGGCAGGCAGATCCAACAACATGCCAGTTCCGAATTTGGGTGCCTCTCATCTCTTGAGTCACTCAGTAGTTCATTTTAAATTCTTTGAAGCTGTTACTCCTTTTAACCAATAAAGGGAGTCGTCACCATTTACTCTTCAATCAATGTTTTAAAACTTATTTTTATGAAAATAAATACTGTTATCATATTTATATATACATAAAAGTATAAAACCAAATAAGACTTCCTTTAGAAGCCAAATTTCCATGGGAGAGTAAATTTTTATTGTGGGCACAGAAAAGGAAGAAAGCAAAAACATGAGAATTCTTTCAAGGGCAAGATGACTTGCAACAGCCACCAAAAAGTATGACACCACATTACAGTATATGTCCAGCGTGGCAGCCTCTTCTTAATTGATTAACATACGGGGGTTGGGATCTTTTTGGATGGTGTTTCAAGAACACCAACCAACACATATGCATATATTGTAGGGAGTACATAAAAAAGTACTACGACACACAAATGTTGCTTGATGAATGGCCCGCCGGCCGGGCGGTGAAACCCCCCAATCAATGATTAATTAAGCCTTCACTGCGAAGATATCCAACAGAGAAGAGAACGTGCCGTAGGAAGCAAAAGAGAAGCCCAGAACAATGATGGCTCCATCATAAGCCAACCCAAGCCAACCCAATTCTTGCTTGAACACAATCAGATGAAACAAAGCCGGCAAAACAAAGCCCAGCACAATGCACACACTGCTCCCCACTAGCGATAAAAAGTCCGCAAAGTTAGGAACTGCCAGAGCCACCAAACTGACCACAAACACACCAAACCACCTTAGCCAAAGTGAATATTTTCCTTCACAGAACCTCCTTTCCAACACTTCATACACCGGGTTCATCATTAGTGGGAAGGTAAAGAAAAGATTAACACATAACCCGATTTGGACAAGGCTGCTTACAAGCCCCCTCCCAAGGTTAGTGGTGATTATGTCTTTAGTCTCATCACCAAATGCAAAGTAACCTAGTATCCCAAACACCCCATACATCATAGATATCAGTGCCATTGATAAACCCAAGACTCTTCCAAACTTACCCTTGTCCTCCGTCTCTGACTCTAGGGGCAAAACCATCCCGACCCCTTCAAAAGCATACACAGCAACTCCAAGACCATAGAAGAACACACTGAGCCCACCAAAGGGCTGAAGAACAGGCCTGTTCTGTAAGTAGACTAAAACATCCTCAACCATAACCACACCCATAGCTCCCAAATCAACCACATCGGCGAAGATGCTTAAAGGAGCTAAATTGGTAAGTGTGGGAATTGAATTCAACCCCAGTTGGAATGGAAAACAGCTCCAGACATACACAGATTTTGGGGAAATCCCCAAAATTTTAGGGTTTGGGTGCTCAACAGATGCATAATTGAATATGTGAGCTAAACTATTTGCTATGAAAATCATGTAGCTAACACAGAATCCAGCTTGGGAGAGAACAATCATAACATCAACAGCAAACCTCCCTATCCGACCACACACAGCAAACCCTAGATCGCCAAAAGATGAGAGCTTCGGGGACTTGGGATTGGATTCGAGCTTTCTTCGTGAATGCACTAACAGCATCATACAGTAGTAGGTCAAGGAGGCCACAGAGAAGAGCATAAGAACACCCATGACCCATCCAGTTCTCTTGAACGTATAGGGTAGACCAAGAACCCCTGATCCGACGATGGCTATGAAAACATTGGCGAAGGTTTTGGTCGGGGAAGAGAGATGGTGTTGACTCGAGAGGAGTGGGGTGTCTTCTCGCGGTGGTAAGTGGAGGACATGGGAGGATGAACTCGCTTCGTCTTTCGCGAATCCCATGGATGGCGACCTCGGAATGGATCCGGAATTCAGAAAGCAACAAATCCAGAAACTGAGCTGGAGAAATGAGACGGGGCAGGTTTCCTGATTTACGCAGATCTAGGAAAGGAGAAATGAGAAATTAATTAATTTTATACGTACTGGATTTGAAACTCGTTTATGTTATCGGGGAAACTTGTTTGATAGAAGAGCTGCGCAGAGGGACGGGGTACGCCGGCCTATATATCTGCGATTCTGCGGCACGGCACATCAACTTTTTGTAAAGATTATGCAGGCCCACTTAAATTTTTACATTTTCCTTAGTATCATGCTTTGTAAAGTGTCGGTTTGTGAGCAGGGGAGTAAAGATTACATGATTTTGCCAGTGAGATTCAACGGTACATCAACTTGTCAAATCGGGTATACTTTCGTCCTTCCGGCTATTAGGTCTCCTAATACGCTGACGTGGCCAACGGATTACTGATATGGCCTAACAATTAGTCTTTCGTGTGATAAACCGTGGCCTCCAAGTCAGCATCTTCCTAAATACTCCAATCGGACCCTAGAAATTGAGACAAGCCCAATAGAAGACAGTGCAAGTGAGTTCGTTGTTGAAGGTGAAGGTGAGTTCGTCCTCCGGCATATCGTCTTCCTCCGGTGAAGGTGCAAGTTTTTGTTCGTTTGTAATCTTCTATTGTATTCAGATAATGAAGAAACGAAATGCATTCCATTTCCTTAGGTTTGAGAACAACACAAATGTCTTATGAAAATTGCTATTGTGGAATTCCAACTAAGGTAATGACTTCATGGACAAATGACAATCCAGGAAGACGATTCATCGTCTGCTCAAGAGTAAGGGCATTCGAATGATAAAACTATGTTATTTTTGAATTTTTGTTGATTTTGATTCTTGTTGAATTAATGGTATCATTACAAATAGGGTACAGGTGCCTGTTGCAACATGTTTGAATGGCTTGACGAAGAAATGTGTTATAGGTCCAAGATGATTATTCATGGTTTATTGAGGAAAATAAACAAATTGGAAGTTGAGCTTGTTGAGGAGAAGGCAAAGGAAAAAGGCTTGTCTAAAAAACAGAGAATTTGGAGTCTCTTGTGGTGCATTCTTGCAGGATTAGTGCTGGTTGTGATATGGCTTGTTTTGAATGACAGTGGAAGCAAGAAGACGGTAGCTTGGAAGATATGTGATGCTGCCATGGATTAAGTTAAAATGGAAGTTTTATGAACTAATGTATCAGAATTCAGAACTTTGTTGTATCACTATATTAGCTTTGTTGTATCACTATATTAGCTTTGATGTATCACTATATTAGCTTTGATGTATCAGAATTCAGAACTAGGTGTAACACTTTCAGTTGCTTTAGTTGATGTTTTAGTGCAACTGGTATGATTTACCAGTTGCTTAGGTGTGTTGTATGACTTTAAGTTGATGTACTTTAGGTGTATCATTTGCTGATTTTTATTTATACAATTTCGGTTCAGTTACTTGATCAGTTGCTTAGGTATGACTCTGTTTCTTTGAATGATATGGACCATATAGTAGCAGTGAATCAATGAACTCACTTTTGGCCTGAAATGGACCTAAAATATGACCTAAAATATGACCTCAGGTTGATATGGACCTCAAATATGACCTGCAATATGACCTCAGCCTTAAACCAGACCTGCTATAAACACCTCAATACCAGCCCAAGCAACATTGACCTCAAAACATGAAAACATTGATCTTAAACCTTGACTACATGAAAACATTGACCTGCTATAAACATACATGAATACATACATGAATACATACATGAATACCATACATGAAAACATTGATCTTAAACCAGAGCTGCTATAAACACCTCAATACCAGCCCAAGCAACATTGACCGCAAAACATTGACCTCAAACATTTCATTCACAACATACATGAACTTAAAGCCCATGAACTGAAACCATTGTGTTTAATACATACATGTTTGAAGTTTAAAATTACATCACCTAAATATCATTGTCTTCCTCCTCATTTTTATATGTAATACAGAACAGAAAATTATAAATAGGCAAGCAAACATCCAAACCAACCGCAGTAATTGCTTTTTTCCCTCTCCATTGGAATACACACTCACCACCTGGAACCTTTAAGCATTGGTTTTCAGTGAAATAAGATTGCAAAGTACTACCACCAACATTTGATTGTGTTGTAGGTACATTGCCACCATTGCTTTCCTGGCAACATGTAATACACACACTTAAAACATACCAAGGTATATGAATATGCCAAAATGTAAAAACTGACATTTGGGCTGATTTACCTCATCTAGATTGTTCTGTACTGGGTTTGAACTTTCAACTTCAATGTCATCATAAGGAAAAGTAGACCTTCCTTGCATTATTTCATCTTTTGAAGGACAACCTTTTTTGTTATGGCCCTTCTTGAAGCATAACTGACATGTAATTGTTGTACCTCTCTTGGGTAGCTTGCCACTCCTTGGAAACTCACCTAATTCCTTTATTCTATTTCTTTTGGGCCTGCCAAGTTCTTTTTCTTTTAATGTAGCAGGTAAGACCTTGATGTTTGTTTTAGGCCAGAATAAAGGACCAGCTAAAGGTGTCATCATGAAAGAATATGTATGCCTATACATGTCTTTCTTGTACCAATTAGACACATAATCCTCTATAGGATGCCCTTTGCCCCTAATGGCACATATGGCGTGTTTGCAAGGAATCCCAGACACATCCCACTGCTCACACAAACAACTTCTATTGACAAGGTCAACTAGATAGGTGGCAGAACCACATGACACTTCATAACCATCAACCCCATTAAACTGCACCCTCCAATAATTGCTTGCCATTATGGTGATATTTATCCTTCTCCTAATTCTAGGGCCTAACTGACCTATCCACTTATCAGCTAAATCCCTATTTTTGGTTAGCCTTTGCATAACCAACTTTTTGATATACTCCGATTGAGAATAACCTAATTGAGATCTAGCGGGCATTATTGCTCCAGTAAAGGCCTCACAAAGATTGTTATCAACAGTTTCACACTTTATACCCCTATCAAAGAATGCTCTACACCAAAATTTAGGATCTACCTTCAGTATATCTTCATGAGCAGTAGGAGAAAGAGATTTGAGGCCCTCAAGATTCTGTTCAAACTTTCTTTTGGAGGCAGCCTTGCAGCACTTCCAAAATTGTCTTTGCAATTCTAGACCAGGGTGGGTTCTTCTCCATATGGCATAAATGTGCCTGGCACATCTTCTATGTTCAACCTCTGGTAGAGTCTCATATAAAGCTAGCATCAAGCCCTGACACATGGAAACATACAATCAAAGTTAAGTTCAGAAGCAAGCAAATCAAATATTCATTAAGTTCAGAAGCATGCAACAAAACTTTAAATTTTTATTATTGCAGTACTATTTCACCTTTTGTTGGTCGGAAACAAATGCCCAACCTGCTCCTCTTCCGATCTGCAGATCATCTCTTAGATTCTCTATAAACCACTTCCATGTGGATTTGGTCTCAAACCCCACAACAGCCCAAGCAATTGGGAACATTTGATTGTTAGCATCCTTTGCCACTGCTGTGAGTATTTCTCCCTTGACTTCAGACTTTAAGAATGCGCCATCAATCACAATTAACCTTCTACAACCCTCAAGAAAACCCCTCTTACATGAATCAAAGCATACATAAAATCTTTCAAACACATCACTGGGCTACTTAAGTTGTAATATGCATGTATTTCCTTGATTAGACCTTATGATTTCAGCTTTGTAATCCTCCAAATTGTTGTACTCACCCTCTATATTTTCCTTTTCTTGCTTCCTTATCATTGGTTTGGCTTTCTTCATTTGTTCCAGAGATACATCACAATTGAGTTCTCTTTTAACCATCTCTTTCATAGCACTGGTTTTCATGTCAGACAAACCAGGCTTAGTGTTGAAATTTTTTTGCACCAACCACTTTGCAGTGGCACTAGGAATTTGCCAGCCTGGATTGCATGTATGGTCCTTGATGTAGGTCTTCAGCACCCACTTTTTACTGCTACTTCTGTTCTCAATGCCAAAGTAGGTCATCCATGTGCAAGTCTTGTTCAAATTTGAACACTTGGCCCTAAGCATGTTGGAGCATTTTTTGCCCAATAGAAGGGGTACCTGTTACTCACAGAGTATTTATTAACAGCATCCTTTACCTGACTTTTTGACTCAAAGCGCATTCCCAAAGTAAAATCAACCTTGTCATCTGGTTTGAAGCTTGGAAATCTGGATTTTACTCTTACAAATCTTCTTCTTCATTGTTAGAAGCAGATTTGTAACTTCCTTCATCGCTTGAACTGAAGTATTCTGTGTCATTGCCATCATCCTCCAAACCTACCTCTTCTTGAACTAGTGTTTCATTGGCACCGCTATTGTTGTTGTCTTTACTTTTCCCAAGAATCTTTTAATTTGTCACCAGCTTCTTTAGCAAAAACCTAGCATGGAGTAACTCCTCATCATCTTCATTTTCAGAATTTGCCTCATCCTCAAACAGTAGACCTGCTTCTGCCTCAAGAATTGGATCTTTAAAACCCAAATCAACAATGAACGGAAGTTCAGTAGTAGGACCCTCCTTTGTTTGTCTGTTTCATAATAAATGTGTTACCATTTCAGTAATACAACCCTATATATGTTCAATGCATCTCATACAGTTAATTTACATACAATGCATCTCATCTACTTATGTTCAATGCTCAACTACTTATACTCACTTTATACACAGGTAAAACATGTCTTAACAGTAAGGTACTACGAAACTGACAATGGTGTACCTGGCTTTAGAAGACCCCATCTCCATCTGCGAATTAGGGTGTCCAATCCTCTTCTGTGCACTCTTAGTTGTGGTGCTTTCACTTTCAGATTTCCCAAACGAGCACTACAGTTAGGTTTAGAAACTCCTAACTGTGTGTATGCGGCTAAGGTGGCTAAATGTTAGGCCATATCAGTAATCCGTTGGCCAGGTTAGCATTTTTAAAGACCTAATAGCCCGAAGGACGAAATTATACCCGATTTGGCAAGTTGATGTACCGTTGAATCCCACTAGCAGAATCATGTACTCTTTACTCCCCTGCTCCCAAATTCATGTACCAAACTGACACTTTTCTCTGCTTTTTAGCTACATTTTCCTTAGTATCATGCTTTTCAGTTTATAAAGCTTATCAATTAACTTTGTAATTTTATTAATATGGGATCTGAAAGATAGATAA